CTAAGCCGTGTCAGCCCTGGTTAGTACTTGAATGGCACACCACCAAAGAAGTCAAGGATTGCTACATAGAGGCGGGCACCTCTGTTTGTTTTTTTCCTTGAAAACCCAATGGGGTTGCGATAAGTCAGCTGCGACTTGTGGGTGCTTTCTGCCGCCATTGTATCTCTACTTTTTCTAGCATGTGATTGTACCAGAAACTTTAAAAAAGGCAAATAAACACATTGAATTGGCAGCAGTGTGCAATTCCCTGGGTGTAATAGCCATTTGGCTACTAGAGGAGACTTTCCACACACCTTTGAACCTTATAATATGTTTGCAGCTTATTTCAACAAGGATCTGTTACTCCAGTGTTCTATTCTTTCAGATTGATTAACCATTATGTATGAAGTCCAGTAAAACATGGAGACGTGTATTCACCCTTTAGTTAATTATATATAACTCTCACTAACATTTGTAAGCCACGCCTGATGTGTCTTTCTCTGACTCGTAAGGAGTGATATAAATGTTCGGATTTAGGATATCCAGAGTAAATATGTTATTGGTACATCTGCTTTGGCACCTCAAATGTATCATTTAGATTCAAAGTGGATAGTATCAGTATGTTGGTTGCCTCACAACTTTTTCTAAACCAAGTCTAAACTTTGATCATATAGATAGTACTTCCCGCGTGCACTTTAAATATCCATTAAAAGAAAGAATATTGTGAATATCTCAAGTAGTATATGTTACATCTGGCTCTTTTTGTAGAAGGCAGTAGTTTCGGAACTCTTTCTGCAGAAATATGTAGCCTTTGTCTCTTCCTTCAGATCACTCTTTGACAATTTTCAATTTGATGTTATGTAAACCTGCTCTTAATTCCTAACTATAACAATGTTTTTAAGTAGGTCTCATTGAATTTTCCCACATATAGTCCTCCTGGCCCTGTTCTCTTCCTCTTTTTAATGTTTTCTCATTGTTTTAGATTGTAAGCTCATTTAGGGCAGGGTCAGGTGCATTTTAACCAATGAAGCTCTGTGCATCTGTTGGTGCTGTATACATTATAATTTTATACTTTTTAGAGTATGGTATAGTTGGTAGCTTTCACACTTGGACTGAATAAACCTAGGTTTAGTGCCCTATCTCACAGGGTAGGTACATGGAGGAGAACCATATACTGCCTTAGGCTCCATGTATGAAGGAGTGGATAAAATATAATATTAGCATTTTAAGAGTTTTCATTTTGTTTAAATGAAGGTTTTGAGTTGTAGTAATTATGAGGTGACTTAAAGGAAGCCACAAACCACATTTTGACTGTTTTATGTTGAAACAGCTTAAGTAAGTCTCTGCTTTCAAGCGTTCAGTACTTGCGGTGTTAGGTTTAGTGTAGACAAAGGCTATTCTGGGAATGTTGGAAAATATGTCCTTATGATACTTCTGGGATCGATAGGACAAGGAGCAATGATTTTAGACCTCTAAATGTTAGGTTTAGGGTGAATATTAGGAAGAAATTGCTAAGGTTGTGGAATCTTTCTTTTTTGGATTTTTTTTAGCAAGTGCATAGTTTTTGTAACAAACTCAAGTACTGTGCAGCATGTGCTTTTTCTGGTTAAGACAGCTTCTTTCACAGAATGCAATGAATCTGGGGGCGATCCATAACGACTCTACATTTGGGATCTTGTTGGTTCCACAAAATATACAGTATGTATAGTATTTGAGCTTGTTATTAATACTGTGTGTATTAGCGGTCAAAGGGGACAGTACAAAGCTTAGCTTGAATTCCTGACTTAATGTATTACAAAAATGAAGAAGACTGACAGATTTTTTCCAAGAATATCAACTTCTCTGGCACTTTGAAGAC